ACCAATCAGACCGTTATGGCAAAATTAAGTGTAAATGGCGCAAGCCCAGAGGAATTGACAACAGGTTGTGAACAAAATTTACGGGCCAGATCTTAATGCCCAACACTGGTTATGGGAGCAACAAGAAGGCAAAACACATGACACCCAGTGGCTTCTGCAAGTTCCTGGTTCACATAATCAAAGAGCTGAAGATGCTGCTGATGTGCTGATGTACAGAGATCTCTCACAACATTTCCTTCAAGAATAGCAAAGCCATCATGGAAAGAGCAGTCCAGTTGGCCATTAGAGTTACCAATCCCAGTGTGAGGCTGGACAGATAAAAAAAATGAAAAGGTAGCCTGTTTTCAAGTTTTATTTGTGCTAAATAAAACAACAAAAGCGATGCCATCTGGCATTTCTCTAAAAAAAAAAAAAAGAAGATGGAAGAAATAACAGTCAACATACAAAAATGGTCAATGTTCAACCATTTCAAGATATAGCATATGATCTGTATCCAATGATACTAAAGGAAGAAATCCAAACTGCACTGAAGGTATTAGAACAAGGCTTCAGGGACTGACGGAATACAAAATGAAATCTTTCAAGAAACAGATACAAAACTGGAAGAACTCACTCATCTATGCCAAGCTACCTGTACAACTGATTGGAAAAGAAACATAAATTTGGCCATTCCAAAGAGAAGTGACCCATCGGTATGTGAAAATCAATAACATTAACATCAATAACAATAACATTAATATCGCTTGCATGTAAAATTTTGCTACAGATAATTCAAAAATGTCTACAAAAAACATTAAAAGGGGTAATTAGAGGGGGTGCCCAAGTGAACATACATTCCACCATCACCCTTGGACGGTTCTGTTATGTATGCGCACATATCTCCTCAAAATTTAAAGCGTCAATGTACACTTGGCAAAATGGCCACAGCCGGCCCTGAACTGTTTATCACTAGGAAAAAGGCCTGAATGGGGATTGTGGAGCATGACAGGCAGACTAAAAAGGAAACAGGCCAGTGATTAAATCATGAGCTACATCATAACAATCAACATTGGCATCTTGAAATTTCTCAGGAAGAAGAGTGAAAAGGGAAGCCCATCTCCTGATCACATCTACCTAGAGGCAATCAGAAAACATAAAAAAAA